GGATCCATTTGATCAATGACCACCGATTCACGATGATATAATCTGCATTTGCTGGCAAAAACTGTGTTTTTCGACTGAGTGGAGACACTACGAGTGAGTTTAAAGTAACCCACAAGCACATCGACATGTTTGAAGTGGTTAAAAGGTTAAGATTACTCTACAAGATAACCTAACGAGTTTAAAGTGGATCTTTAGGCTCTTTGTTAGCAGCAGCCGGTCACAAAGACACATCATTTTGTTCCAATTTCTGTATCTGATGGAGGAAAAAGGCCAAAGAAAACGTAGTCTGACAGACAGGAAACAGGATTTTTGAGGATTCCCAAAGAGCTGTTGGCTGGAAACTGGGCAGATCTCAGGTTGTGAGCAGAGTCCTTAAAACATCTGAGGAAAGTGGACCAGTGGAGGACAGAAGAAGAAGAATTAGGCCTAAAAAAACCCTCCCTAATCCAGCAGATAAAGAGGATGTGAAAGTCCTCCGGAAAGAGGAACGGATCCATCTGAGAGCTGCATTTGGACCTCCACCTGATCATCTCCTGGTGGCTGAATCAGAAATGCTCTTCATGAAGGGCGGCTATCATAAATCAATGAAGGAAAGAAGGAAACAGGGAGGAAAGGCTGAGTTCTAACAGAGGAACCAGAAGTGGACTTAAAAACCAACAGCTTTAATGGAGGAATGGATCCTCCAAAGCCCATTATTAATCAAATTATTTAACAGTATTTCACTCTTCTGTCTCTATCTTATGCGAGACAAATTAGCATACTAGCTAACGATCAACCATATTTAATTTTTTAAAATTTTATTTCCCCTATAAATGGGGATTTGCCCTAACCGTGTCCTCCAGATATTTCCCCCCTAACGTCTAAGTTTGAATCCCGGCCAACCGACGAGCTCCCGGGGGACTTGAGAAGAGGGCGACCGTGTTTCTGCTTTATTAACCAAATTAACTCCGGGATCCACCTTAAAAAAAAAAAACGGGGGGTAATCCCGGGCAGGTCCCTCCCTCTGTCGCGGTCTCCAGCACGCGCCCGTCTCGCGCTCAGTTCCCCCCACGGCGGCCCGTCGCGTGCGAAAAACGTTGGTCCGACCGTTGGAGATTTTTTTCTTTTTCTCCGTTTCGCCAGTTGGGCTTTTTGACAGAGCCGGACCCAACTGAGTCCCACCCACTCCGCAACACCAGCAAACCGCCAGCCCCTCGTTGACTGGATCTGCTTTTTCGCCAGGAGAGGGAGGGTGAGTTTATCTTTTCCTTTTAAAGGATTGATTTGTGACCGGTTCTGGACCTGGTTTTGCTTTTTTCCGTCGTCGGAGCTGCCGCTGCGGGAACTCAACGGATGCCCACAAAATGTAATTACTGTCAAAGAAACCGGTTTTAAACGTCGGAACAAAAGCAAGTTGAAGATTCCCCCTCCCCTCCACACGGTGTTTTCTCTTCACCCCCTGCAGTTGTCAAGTCGGTGCCCTGTTGGGAAATGGACAAACCCCAATGAAGACGCTGACCTGCCGTACCGACAGTTAGAGGACGTGATTTGGACGAGAATTAGCAGATTGAAGGTAACGTCTAAACCCCGGGTTTTCAAACTTTGCTCGCCTCGGGTCTCCTTTTTTTCTCGATTCACTTGTGGATGAAAGACGAAAACTAACAATATTACTTAGTTTGGGGCGTTAAAAGTGGGATTTTAACGGGTTTTAAGGAGTCAACCGTGTTCCCACTTTTTCCGCACTGCTCAGCATCCGGGTAACGTCCGTAACGGCTGTTTTTTTCCTTTTATATTTTTTACCTTGACACCCGATTATTTGAAACTACGGCCAGATATTGAGTCATCTACAGGTGTGAACGCAGAGTCGGCACTCCGAGGAGCATTTTAACATCCGTATTTATGTATTTTTTAAAGATTGGGCTGAGCACTGCACGTCAAAAAGCCCGAGGCACGCTTTTCTTCCCGTTTCTCCTCGTCTAACGTCCCGGCAGTTAGCTAGGTTACAGCCCCCGGTACGTGCCTTTTCTCCTCTGCAGTCAACGCTGACGAACCTTTGAGTAAAGCAGACGCCGAATGCCAGTCAACGTCGCTTTTCGGAGGCGAAAAACGCCCAGAAAAACACACACGGGGCCACTCTACCTCAACTTGGAGTCAAACTTGACCGAAATGTGTCGAAAGGCGCCCGGTAATGTTAAAACTTATAAAATGGGCACGCGGTGTTCACTTGAGGATTTCCAGCATATTAGACTTAGTTCGCGTGTTTGTAAAGTTGCCATTTTAGAAAAACTAGGCATTCTTATTTTATTAGAGGCATGCCGAATTGAAGAGGGGTGTTTGGGTGGTCAAGCAGAGGTGTTTTTTATTGGGAATATGTAATTTTTTTGCGATTAATGCGGCGATGTTGGTTAAATTGGTGCATTTTGAATGGCGCTGTTGGCGCGGGACTACCCATGCGGCAAAGCGGCACGTATCGGCTGTTGCAGAGATTGCCATGCAGGACTCAGACCGCCTGGGGATGGCTCCGAGTGTCTGGAAACAGTTTGCCTGTAATGTTTTATTTTCCGGGTGATACTTCCCTCGGTAATCAAGAGAACCGTTTTCCATCAGTGAATTACACGGCCGCTGCTAACTTGATTATGAACGAGTTTTTTTTTTTTTTTTTCCAGCGGAACCCTGTTGGTGCGGTTTTTTTTTGCTCCTGTTGTTGTAAATTGTGTTTACTTCAGAAACCACCGTGGTGTCCTTGCATTTCTGGCATCTTCGGATGAGAATAAGCCTGTTGGAGTGGTTTCCCCACATATGTAAATTGAGCTCCCGCACCTCAGACTGGCGGCACCGAGAGTGGGGGTTGTGGGGAGGGGGGGTCGTTACCGAGTGGGTTTTTATTTTAATTAATGGTAGTTAGGCACATGAAGAATTGTCCTTACGTCATTTGCTAGGATGGGCGGATGAGCAACAGCACAGGCTCTGCTTCTTTTTTCCTCCTCTCCTCTGATTTCATCCATCTCCTCCTCCCTTCTGGAGCTGGGTGTGTCCTGCATTATTGCGTTCGAGAGGAGGGGGATCCCGCATCTTGGCTCATGGTGACTCCTCCTCAGCTTGTGACCTCCAAAAGAGGGCATAGCTCCCCCTGTTTTTGCCTGCCCGATTCAGCAAGAGAGAATCTCTTTGCAGAGGAAAATCTAAAGCTGGAAGACTTATTTTAAAACGGTTTAAATTTAATGTGACTTTAAATGCTGGCTCTTTGACGCTCGTCTTTTCTCTGTAACCTAAAAACAACTCGTTAGGTTTTTCTTTCCTTGTAAATTCATTGTGTACTAACGACTGTTAATGTTTGACCGGTGTGACGCAGTGGATCTTGATGGATGCTGAGAACTGCCCGATATCCATAAACAACAGATGGCGTATTCATCAGGTGAATTTGAGAAAGATTTCGGTCTCCTCCGCTCAGGTGAATGGTAAACACGGATGATTAACAATATGGGGGAGTTTTTGGAGGGATTTCCTCTGGATGAAGTGGTCTGGCGCACAGATCCTGCTGCAGCACACATCGTGACTGTAGTCAGTGATGGGAGAACTATATCCACAGTGATGGCTCATGCTGTGTCAAATAACACCTCTTTTCCTTCTCCCTGAAGGTTAATGTGGTGCATTTTAATAAAAATGAATTTATTTTATAAAGTTAAGTGGTCTTTGCTTCAGGCAAGGTGGCCTATATCTGATATAACTGGAGCTGAAAAGATTAGTTGATTGATCGCTTATTTCACTGTAAACAGCTTTGGCTTTTCGTACTGTTGGTCGAATGAGTCTGGGACTCGGCTGACTCGTACACAAGCAGTTTTCTCTCCTATTATATCTTAATCAATAAATTCAGAACCCTCTGAACCAATGTTTTAGATGGTGAAAGCTATTGGCTGTGACAGAAAAAGTCTTGACACTGCAAAGATGGAAACGTCTTTTCATTTAGTTTTTATTACTGTCTGAGTCATCAGACTTTTTCTAATCTAAATTTCTTCCCGTTTGTTGTTTTAACTACCCTGATTATTTAAGCTACAGGTGGCTGATGTATTTTGGCCCCGTGGCTGATTTGATTCCCAGATGTATTCCATTATCTGCAGAGGATAGAGAACGGGGAAGGCTGAACGCGGTGCTTGATTTGTGTGTTCTCACCTTATCTCCAGTGGTGGAATGGAAATAAACAACATTTAGGCCAATCCACTGACTGTGAAAGATGGTTTATGTGGAAGTTATTTAGTCAGAAACCACTTACTGAAATTAGTTTTGGCACTGGCTA